AAAAAAAAAAAAAAAGAAAGAAAAATAGAGAAACGAAGCCGTCGGTGATCGCAGTCACCTTTGCTGCTCGTCGACAAAAAGGAGTGGAAGAAGAGAGAGAGAGGGGAATGAGAGAGAGACACGAGAGACAGGGCAAGAAAGAGAACGGGTTTTCCAATTTTTGATTTTTGAAAACAATTTTTCAAAATACCAAAAAGAACACATTTTCAACAATTTCAAAATGGACACTCAAAACACAAAACACAAAATGAATTCAAAACTCAAAACACAAAACTGAAACACAAAGAGAACAACCCCTTAGTGTTCTCACTGCACGTGGTCCAATGTAGTCTCAAGTTGAAGGTGATCTACATTTGAAAACAATTTTTCAAAATACCAAAAAAAACACATTTTCAACAATTTCAAAATGGACACTCAAAACACAAAATGAATTCAAAACTCAAAACACAAAATTGAAACACAAAGAGAACAACCCCTTAGTGTTCTCACTGCACGTGGTCCAATGTAGTCTCAAGTTGAAGGTGATCTACCACTGATTTGAATTTTCAGAAACTCAGTTTACTTATTGATTACAATTCATTTTTAAATAATGTTATGTTTAGGAAAGAAAATTAAAGGATGTAGTTATGTTATTCTCAGTTCAAGTTCCATTGGGATCAATTTGTTTTTGGATAGTTGAGTAGGGTAGCACTAATTCACAAGTGTTTCCATCTGGCTTATGATTTTTGTTATAATTTTAAAACTGCCTATACATTTGCTTCTCTTTTCCAATTCGTATGAAGGAGCAAAACAATCCTTTGGGAAAAGAAATCCCATATATATTCAACTCATTTATTATAAAATGTTATCAGTTCATTCATAGCACTAACACAATTGTTGAAGGCAAGGGAATGATTGCAGTCATTCAACATAGCTTAAACCTTGAGCAAATACTAAGTATTCAAAATTGGAACACAAAATCCAATCTCGTAAATCAATTGCTTATTGCTAAATTTTGTGCTAAAACACTGAAATTATTCCATAGCATAAATCTTTTTTGAAAATTAAAACAAACTCACAATTTTCAATTCTTCTACTTTTCTTCCCCAAATGCAGACACTGGAAACAACCTAGAAATCCCGTTCGGGGTGCCAACCACAACTTTCCCAGAAATGGGGTCCTGAATGCGAATATCGGAAATGGTGACCCAGATCAGGAGCTCCTTGCTCTTGACACCTGTTAGCCGCATCATCCGCCGGTCATCAACGAAAGCAGTGACCTCTCCATCATACGATACGCTGCGCCCGATTGCACGAAATCCGTGAACCTTGCTCTTCTTCTGCTTCAGCCACACGAATCCCGGAGTCTCATTGTACCCCACCTCAACGATGTCGTCTAAGTTCGATGGATTTTTGCTTGCAGTCGGCTTCGCCGGTGTAAATTTCGGCGTTTTCTCTGTGGGGTGCGATTTGTTGGGACGACATTTTGGAGAAATTGTTGAAAATACCCCAAATTCAACCATACTATTTTCAAAATACCCATTTACTATTTTAAAAATTTAAATATTAAATAAATTTTATTTTAGTCCTTAAAACTTTAATTCTAATTTTGAATTTAACAAATTATTTGCCTTTTGCAATAAAAATTTAACTTTTCT